TGAGGTATGTCAGACTGAGATTGAAGATGTGATGAATCATTAGGGCAGAGTTGGCAAAAATGATTCTGCTCTTTCACACAGTGTGATACAGAGAGAGGCCTCTGACCTTCTTTACTTATCTCACTGTTCCACACTTCGTGTAAGGCAAATATGAATTACGTGAGCGGAGAAAATATGTTCCCCTTTTCCAGTGAACATACGATATCATGAAAGCATAATAATGGGTGGGTCCGCATAGTAAACACGACCAGTTACTTGCTGTGCATACATGTTGTGTGATGGATGCCAAATGGATTCTTGTAGGTTTCACACATATGAAAATCAAATATTGTTTTTTCCAAAATCAACAGTAAGCAGTGATTCAGAAACAGAGAAAACAAACGAGGATATTAAGATACGACAAGTGCTGCAATTAAAATATACCTTACCACAAGACTATTTGAAAAATATAAAAATTATTATAACAGTCCAAACTATAAAAACAGTTTCATCTCAAAGCTCTCAAGCAAAGGTTAGGAGCACAGCTAGACTAGAACGTGCTAGTGAGGGGAAAAAACATTTCAGGATTGCTGACAGTCGATTATTGACTCGTTTTTACAGTGACTCGTGTTTATGAAAAATAGTGAGAGTGAATCTAACTGGAACCCCAAAGCTGTATTTTAAAAATTATTTCAAAATGAACATGCACCAAATACTTCCAATAATTTGCAGGAGTGCAATCTGAAGTGATATTAAAGTATGAAAAAAGGAGACTGTAAAACCTGATACCTGGTTACAAACTTGGGTTATAGTTTCCACAAACAGACATTAAAAACAATATCTTATTCTAGTTCAATTGTATAAAATGGAGAAATTACTGAATAGTAAATAATAAACTTCATGGAGAGTACTGTTGACATGTTCCCTAATAGTGGGTATATGCCGAACTGAGAAAATTTTGGAGTAAAATTGTGAGCTTGGAAACCAAACCTAGTCACAGACATCACATCCATCCCAGTTTTAGTGTCCTGTCCCACTGTCCATAGTTTGTTCCCTGATATGTACCACTTTTTAATTGGTTTACAGGGCTGCAGAACATGCTTTAAAACTCATTCACTGCAGCTGGTTAGCACTCTACCAAGTGAATTAATGTTTCATATGACGAGCACATAGTTATATCGAATTGAGAACTTATAAACACGTATTCTAGTTGCAAAGCATACACGATGTATTATAAAAGGGCAAGCATGAACAGTCTCTGCCTCTTACTTCCATTTCACTAAATAAAAAGCATGATATGGACAAAGTGGATGGTCATTGGTTGCAATTAAATTAAATAGGACGTGAAATTGCACACTATTTTGCATTTACAAATGTTAAAGTCAAATATCACATCTGAATATCACACCTTAACGCAAGTTAACTTGCATATACAGATACATAATAAACACAGACATGGACCTTGCCGACAAGTCCAAATTAGTCAAGAGAAGTGTGTCTGGGGTATTTTAGATATTTTTGTTGTATATGGGTCTTACTTTTTTACAATCAGTACTTTTGTGGTATGCTTTAACACGCTATATCATGCCTCAAGTTTTCCATGAATTTGTCATTTGGTAGATTTAAAAAAAAAAATGTAATGTTGTAGTTAGTGAAGCCCCGATGCCAGGGGGCAATTGCACCTACATTTTATTATTGGTACCTCTCTTGAGTTTGTTTTTAATATATATATATATATTATTCTGTGAATACACTTCGTTTGCAAAAATTAAAATAGATATGATAAATATCTGTCAGCCTATATTCTACAGTGTTATAATACTTTGCCAGCCCTGAATTGAGGCAGTTTAAGTAAAATTAGGTTTTAAATGCATGTGTGCCTATAACTAGCTTAATTATTTACAAGGCAGGAAATTCAAATTTTATATAAACTATATAACATTTATGAACATTTTAAAACATTTTGCATATAACAATTTTTTGCACCAGCAATTTGTTTGACATTAATTATGCGATATGCATGTTTTAATTGTTCAGTTGTTTTAGTTTCCTTTTGCAGTTACAGTTTCTAGTAATTCTATTTTTTACTGCGACAATTCTTCAGCTTACCAACATGCACCATTTCTATGTAACGGATCTGCTACACGCATTGCGGCAGGATGGTAAGACTGTATTGCCAAGTGATTTCACTTAGTTTTAGTTGCTACAGCAAGTAAAATGAATCCTGCCATTAAAAGCTAACAGTGTAACATTTTGACCTTGTCAAGTAAAATTGCATAATCTCTTTTACAAAATGAAAACAACTTCTCTATCTGTAATTTCCTTGGCAACCAAATATTTACCTTAGTAGGTTATAAAAACATGGTAAAGAGAAAAGCTAAATAACTGAATTCTGGAATTCTCTGCCAAAAATGATTTTAAATAATAGGTACGTGTCAATTACTGTGCATACCAGAAACTTTTAAAATTTTGCGGAAAAGCTGTATCTTTAAACAAGAAAAATCGGAAATAATGAAACAAAACGTATTTCATATTTCCAGTGTTGGTAAAAAATATGGTATTTACATATTCACTCTAAGGACCATAAAAACGTGCACAGTACCAAAGATCATTACGTATAGAATACACTGGTATCGACTCGCTGCCCTTATAAGGCTGCCCACTCTATCAGTACTCTAAATATTACTTCCTTCCAACTTTTGCAAACTACATGCACAATATCTGGCCCTTCCTTTCTGCAAGGCACCAGTCTCGCAAGTGCACAAATCGTGAACACAGTCCGGTTCACAAACATGTAAACCAGGCTGTGAATAAACTTGTTTTAGTATATTGAGCAGTTTCATTCATCCAATGTGATGATTGGACATTGACTGGGACTAAACTACAGATACCATTAATCTCTGTTGGGCAGGTGTTTATTGGGTGAGAAAAAAACATATACCATACATTAAACTCCCGCACGGGCTCAACTTCATGTTAATTCACAATAATTGACAGTTCATATCAAGAACAACAGTGGTTCTACCGACACTGCCACCTACAGGTCTGTCAAATACATTGACAATTTTCATGGGGTTTTACAAACCCCAAAACACTGACTCTTATGGGTCAACAGACAAACAAAATTTTTC